ATATATATATATATAAAGGCTATCAAATAGCTAAAAGATGCAGCACTGTAACTAAAAGCTTTAAGCAGCATAAAAAGATACAAATAGAGCAAATGTTTTGAAGTAGATTTCAGAAACATTTTAAAGAAACTGAAGAGATTTCAGTGTGTTGTTATGCAGTAAATATTTCTGAATAAAGTTAAACATTTTGTAAAATATTAAAAGCTAACAAACTAAAAGAGCTCAGACCTCCACGCTGTATTTGTTCATGTGTGCGAGGCGGCGACAGTACAGGTACAGCATGCCGATGCTGCTGCCAACCGCCAGGAAGTCCGAGCTGCTGTCCAGAGCCGTCAGGTAGACCAGGACAGACCTGAAGCCCCGCTGCACCTGAACACATGAGCCTTCATCAATAACACATCAAATAAACACCAGACACAACAAGACAATGCTTGTCTGCGTTAGGCCCACGGTTCCATTCGTTTATTACTTTAAGGCCATAATAGCTGTAAAAATATGCGACTTTCCAATATTCTGATATGGATTTTTGTGTATGTATCTAGATATTGTATTAGAATTATAAAAGCTCAATATTTGGACATCTTTCGAGGCTTAAATGTTGCTGTACACGTGGAACGAGTCGGCACCTTGGCTGGGATGGCGTTCAGCAGGTAGTACAGCGGACTGAACTCCCTCAGGATGGACGGAGAAGGTGTCTGTGCCGTCATGATGGTCCTGAAACAGACTCAGCAGGTCCTGGAGATGAAGATAAGACACAGTTTAGACAGTGTTCCAGCAATGTTTACTCTTAGCTTTCACCAAAAACACCAAGTTTAAAGCCTGGAACAACAGCAGGGTTACAGCAGATCGGGTTGAATCTTGCAGAATCCACTGATGCTCTGAGTCAGTGAGATTAACTGGCAGCTACTGCCACGCCAATTTTAGCTCAATGTCTCCAAAATAAACTGAGTTATAGCGATTTTTACACTTGCTAATGTTGATCTGGTGTGGCGGCCATCTTGAATCAGGATGATTCCAAAAGGTAATCAGCTGAAGATGAACAGTCAGTGATTACTTTCTGAGAGTTTCATTCAAATCTGTCCAGAGGTTCATGAGATATTTTTGCTAACATGAGCCCACACTGACAATTACAAGCAGGAATGCTGTTTGAATTCATCCGGGATTTGTTTCTGATCCATATAAACTCAAAGATATGCATTCATTCCTTCTAATATTTGGTTAAACATTTTCTATTGTGGCAGAGTCGCAGAGGGCGGGGCGGTGCAGCGTCAAACGTAAACACAACAGAAACCCCATAAAGGGAAACAGAAAGCAAATAAATAAATAAAATAACGTAAACGCATCTCGTGCCGTACTCTGTTTTTATTTAACTTAATTTGAAAGACAAACTGTCCATTTGTATATAGAGGGGTGAACATGGAGATAACGTTATAATACCAGATTTAATTAATATTAAATGCTGTTTGTTGACCTGACCAACCCCGAATGATACAAAACAACCTGCTTCATTGAGCTAATATAATTTTTCACTTCGCATTAAATGTATTTTCATAAAAATTAAGAAAAACATTAAGTCGTTCATAAGTGTAATGGAGTTTGTAATGGCGCTAAATGTGGCCTCGTAAATGACAGCTGATTGTCACGTTAGCGTGTTGTTTACAGAGATGCTACTGTAGGCTAGCTAGTATGAGCTAATCCCGCTAACGGAGCAGACTAGCTCCGTGAGGAGAGGAAGACCGTGGTAACCTACTGGAACTGATAAAGGACGTCCCCCAGGTGTTGATCTTCCTTCTGCTGCGACTTATTAATCAGAAGTCACAGCTGACATCGCCCACCGCGTGTCGGAAAGCTCTCCCGACCCGACGACGTCAAACTGCGCCTCCTGCAGACCGAGGCTGAAGCATCTGTAGCTCCGCTTTGTTGTTTTATTTACTGGGTGTTTTTTTTACCCTTGATGTAACACAGGTGATTCGAGGAACAGGTGTTTGTGTGCTGGAGGTGTAAGGTTCTGCAACTGCTGTTGTTGTTTCCACAACATTATAAACGGACAGGAAGAGGTAACAACAGCCTGGAAAACACGGAAACACGGATCAGTCCTGCTACGGAAACCGGCGAGGGTCTTAATGGTTCGAGCAAAATCTGGAATCTGCTCCTCTTGAGTTTAGGTTTAAACACAAACGGAAAATCAAAGAAACGTCGGAAGTGAGACAAACTCTTTAGGAACCGAACCGTGTAAAAATGTACCGAATGAATTTGGCAGAGAACGGCTGAAAGGTCTGGATCCAGTTCGAACGGTGAATCCGGACCGGAATTTCCAAACTCCCGCTCGCTCTGACGGCTAAGCTAGGCTAGTTCAAAACTCCTCCCGCTAACACTTTCCTGCCCCGGGTTTCCTCCAGTCCTGTGCCGTTTATGTTGTCGTTATTCCCCGCGGAGTGTCGTACCTGTCAGCTGACGCCGATTTTATCTGGAACTATTTATTTATCGATAGCGACCGAGGAGCAGGTTAACGGGCCCCCCGCTCTGAGCTAACTAACCTCGCAGCCAAAATGGCGGAAAACGAGGGTAACAGCGGAGCGACCAGAACAATAACAGCCGCAGAGAACCCCCCTGTCCCCCTCAGCACCGGAGAGGACGTGGCAGCAGGCATCCCGGACCCCAGCGACCATCCCGGGGAGCAGCCCGCGTCCTCAGCTGGGACCGTCCGGACCGAGCCAGCCGTGTGTGAGGCTCAATTGGCGGGCGTCTTGGAGAGCTGCCCGGTGGAGCAGGGCACCATGGTGGGCACGGAGTTCACCGACCTGTCCACCGCCACCACCATCATCTACGTGCAGCCGGACGGCACCTTGTTGGAGTCTGGCTCCGGACTGACGGCCGAGGAGCAGCAGGCTGTGCTGAACCAGCTCTCCAAGCACCAGATCGTGCAGGTCTCAGACACCCAAGCTGCGCAGCTGCTCCAGCAGACCCAGGTGGTGGAGACCATTCCGGTCCAGAAAGCTGTCCTGGACCCGGGTCAGCTCCAGCAGGTCATCGACCAGGTCACCAAGTCCCAGAATCAGATCCAGATCCCCCAGCAGAACCTGACCAACAACAACGCGTCCCAGCAGCTGAAGACTGTGGCTCAACACGTTACCATGCAGTACGGCTCTGTACAGGTGGGTTACATAGACCCTGACCCGGGTTTTCAAAGACCTGGAGGGGTTTAATGATTGCAAAACATGAAACAGGTCATCCTGATCCATATGCTGCAGTTTGAAAGAGTTTACTTCATCTTCAGAGCTGCAATGCAGGTCTGCCTTCAATGTAAACAAAACACTACTCAGCACACCTGAGGGTAAACATGCATCAACACTTAAACATCTTTACAGACTTTTCCATCCCAAACGGGTCTCCCGTGGACCTCCACATCACTGACAAAGTTTCAGTCACTTCGGCTGTTTCTGTAACAGCCGAAGAGACTGAAACGTCATGTAGCAAAATGTTACGAAAAAGCTGAAATATCAAAACACTGGCTAAAAGCTACAAAAGGCTAAATGCTACAGAACTGCTAACAGAAACAAAATACTAGCTAGTAGCTGAATATAGTGAAAGTCTAGCTAAAATCTAAAAGGTAATGCAGCTAAAAAATTAAACTACCATAAGACTGGTTAAAACTGTCAAAAGTCTAGCTAAAAGATTCAAAAGCGTAACTGATTGATAAAAGTAGTAAACCACTTGAATATTAGCTAAAAGCAACAAAAAGTTACGAAATGAAAAAGAAAAAAAAAACACTTGGCAAAAGCTGAATATAGTATAAAAAAGCTAGTTAATAGCTAAAACCAAGATTGTAGCTAAAAGATCAAATTAGCAAAAAGCTAACTAAGCCTGTACTGTCGCCGCCTCGCACACATGAACAAATACAGCGTGGAGGTCTGAGCTCTTTTAGTTTGCCTTTTAATATTTTACAAAATGTTTAACTTTATTCAGAAATGTTTTCTGCGCAACACACTGAAATCTCTTCAGTTTCTTTAAAATGTTTCTGAAATCTATTTCAAAACATTTGCTCTTTTTTTTATCTTTTTATGCTGCTTAAAGCTTTTAGTCACAGTTCTGCAGCTTTTAGCTATTTGATAGCCTTTAGGTGATTTTAACATTTAGCTTGCCTTTTTTTAATTACAGCATGCAATATATAAACAACTTGTTTGTTTATAAATTTCTATGTAAGGACATCAATATGTCCACCAAAACAATGTGGAAAAATGTGGTTGTTTCTCATTTCAGAGAGAACCTTTAAATTGGTTCAGTTTGTCTAAAATAACAAACTCTTTCAGTTCTGTTTGTTTTTAATATTCAGCGACTGCAAACATAGCTCACTTTCTGCAGAACCTCTCCAGGTTTTGCAAAAACATCACCTTTAAAAAGAATATAACCAGTGTTGGTTACAGTTCTGTTAATCTGCTAATAGCAGAACTACATTCTCATTTAGTGGATCAGGTTTTTTATTCCTAAAGTCGTAAGCCAATAGTGGACCGATTAGGTTCTGCTAATTTTAAGTTCAYTAAAGAATTCACAAGTGTGAAATTTAAATTTTTTATGCAGTTTATCTTGAATTAAATCAAAACTATCCCCTCTTAAAGCAGTGCTGGATGTCAGGCACCGTTAGTATGTAGCATCTTTAGCAGCTAAACTTCCAACTAAACAGAAATACAACATTTAACAATATTTAAATACAAAAATGAACTATGTAAAAGATATGGTAGAGAGAATGTATTTTCTATTTGTTGTATCACTAACTTCACACTATTTCAAAAAAATGCAAACTTGATCAAATAAATGTTTTTTATTCTGGAAGTATCACAAGTTAAATGGAGCTATAGCTCTGGGTTGGATTGGCTGATCTTCCTCGCTCACAAAGGAGCGTTATCGGAGATCCTTCCTCCCTGCAGCTGTCAGATTCTATAAGCAGCACCATGCCCAAAAATCACAAGTGTTTACAAAAAAATCACAAGTGTTTACACGCTGCTGCTGCCTGCACAATCATTTGCACTGTTACTGTTCATTGTCATTACTCATCTGAGAAATCATTTGCTCTGTTATTACCTATTTTAACCTTTAAAATAACATTTCTGCTGTAATTGCACATCTGTGTTTCTTGTCTGCACTGTCATACTTTACAGTTGCGGTTTCTTTGCACTGAAAATTGGCAAATTCTAATTCCTAATGTCAAATTCTGGTAGTTTACTGCCTCTAAAACAAAACATATCCTTTTTTATTCTTGCACAATTCTTTGTATTATATTTTTATTAGTAGTAGTCGTATCATTGCTAGTTAGTGGTAATTTCGTTTTTTTTGTGTGTGTGTGTGTGTGTGTGTGTGTGTACTGTCTATGGTTTGTAAACTAGCATGTGAACCTCTGTACTGATGCTGCTGTGACACCTGAATTTCCTCCCCTCAGCGGGACCATAAAGGCTATTTCTATTCTATTCTATTTGCCACAGATGGTCCCACCCACCTTCAAATTAAACCAGTAGAAAACTAGTAACAGGTTTTTGTCAGTCCCACCGGTTGTCTTAGCGGTTAGCGTTAGCGGATTACTGAAGCTAACTTCCGTTTAGCTGTGCCACCATAAAATTGAACATTTTCTGGTTCCGGCCGACCTCTTAGATGTTTAGTAGTTTTTGGACCAGAAGTCAGAGACGACAGCTGCTGATGCTAACAGACAAGAAAAACAGAACGTCTGTGACAGTCGTGTGAAATCTTCACTTTTCTCCATTTTAATTAATTTTATAATAAACCATCACCAATCAAACGGTCTCTGCTGCTGGTATTTTGTGGGTCAAAAGCTGAAAAGTTTGGGAACCACTGATTTAGTGGGTAAAATAATCAAGATGCATTATGGGAGATGTGGTTTATGGTCAATTCAGGCTTTAAAGGGATCCCCGATTAGTTGTAACAGACTTTATTTGATAAACATATTAACTGTAAAATAAAGTCTGTAAAAATACTGTAGGATGTTTAGTTTTTATCATTTTTAAACAAAGTTTAAAAATATATTTTAACACAGACGGGGCCATTTTATTTCCACACAAAGCATTCTGGGTAAATGATGATGTGGATAGGTCCTTGGTGCGAGGCTGCTAGCGAGCTATATCCACCCTGAAGGTTAATCTTGGACAATATCTGATGATCGACTCTTTTAAATGAAACCAGAGAGCGTTGACAGAGAGGAGAAGGTAGAAATGACTCAGCCTGGAACTGAAAATATGGATGGAGGACAACAGGTTAGCTTGTTTGTCGAGCTAGCTCCGAGCTAATACATATAAGGCAATATAGCGTCGGTGCTAAGACTAAAGCTAACAGGCTAAGCTGAGGTTGTTCTTCCATGAAGCAGCTCTGTTGTCCTCCATCCATATTTTCAGTTCCAGGCTGAGTCATTTCTACCTTCTCCTCTCTGTCAACGCTCTCTGGTTTCATTTAAAAGAGTCGATCATCAGATATTGTCCAAGATTAACCTTCAGGGTGGATATAGCTCGCTAGCAGCCTCGCACCGAGGACCTATCCACGTCATCATTTACCCAGAATGCTTTGTGTGGAAATAAAATGGCTCYGTCCGTGTTAAAATATATTTAAAAATGTACAAAACTAAACATCCTACAGTATTTTTACAGTATTTATTTTACAGTTAAAATAAATGTTTATCAAATAAAGTCTAATGTTACAACTAATCGGGGATCCCTTTAAAGCAGCTGATTTTAAGACATTAATTCATCTTTGAAGCTCTTGCGGACCACATAAACCTGTAATTTCCCTTCATGGGATCAGTTCATCTGTATGGTTTGATTAGAAACGTGAACCGGTCCAGTGAGACTCCAGCCTGACTTTTTGTTTGATATTTATTAATCTAAACCGTCTCATGTTTTTCTGTCCTTACAGTCAGAACCTGTCAAGATCCAGATCGAAGTTCCCAAACCAGAGGGAGGCGTCGCCCCCCAGCAGAAGAACGTAGCTGTCAGTCACCCGCAGGTGAAGCTGTCTGCCGCAGGGCCTTTGAGCAACGCTCAGATCTTCCACATCCAGCCCGTGGTCAACCAGGGCCAGCAGATCCTCCTGCAGCAGAACCCAGAGGACCCGCCCATCCRGCTGCTGCTGCAGAGCCCCGCCCCCGTCGTGGGGTCTCTGCTCCCGCTGGTCCACAAGCTGACGGGTCAGCCCGCCCTAACAGGTCCTGCTCCCAAACCTGCAGCCTTCTCCGTCAGAGCGTCGACCATCAGTGCAGCTAAAGCTTCAACCAACAAGARCCCCTCCTCCAAAACCATCAGCGTCCCCCTCATCAGCCTGCCCTGTAACGGCACCGACACCCAGAGTCCCAAACCTCCGGTGCCTCCCGGTCAGCCCGCCGCCGCCCCACAGTCCGTTAAAGTCACCACGCTGTCTGTGGTGAGAGAGAGAGACAAGGACAAGGAGAGGAGGGCCAAGAAGAAGAAGGAGAAGAAGGGGGTGAAGGTCCAGACCAGGTCGGGTCGAGTCTCGAGACCACCCAAGTACAAAGCCAAGGACTACAAGTTTATCAAGACGGAGGATCTGGCAGAGAGCCACCAGTCTGACTCTGACGACTACTCCGACATGAGTGAGGAAGAGGAGCAGGGCGAGGACGCCAGACGAGACGAGCCGGGCTCCAGCTCGTCCCTGTCCTACAGCCACAAGTCCCGCTGCCACCAGTGCCAGACCTGTGACAAGTCCTACATCGGACCCGGAGGACTGAACCGGCACTACAAACTGAACCCGAGCCACGGAGAACCGAGTCTGTCCGTCAGCACGCCCACCCCGCCTCCAGACGAAGACCGCTTAGATGAGACGGACACTGCCAGAGAGGATGAGGAGGACAAACGTCCTGCTGCAGCAGCAAACACAGTGAGACACATGTCCACAGTAAGACACATGTCCACAGTAAGACACATGTCCACAGTAAGACCTGTCCACAGAGACGTGTCCACAGTGAGACTTTTCCACACAGACACATGTCCACAGTGAGACATGTCCACAGTGAGACACGTGTCCACAGTGAGACACGTGTCCACAGTGAGACCTGTCCATAGAGACGTGTCCACAGTGAGACTTTTCCACACAGACACATGTCCACAGTGAGACATGTCCACAGTGAGACTTTTCCACACAGACACATGTCCACAGTGAGACATGTCCACAGTGAGACTTTTCCACACAGACACATGTCCACAGTGAGACACATGTCCACATAGACACATGTCCACAGTAAGACCTGTCCACAGAGACGTGTCCACAGTGAGACACATGTCCACA